AAACACCAAGCCATGATTAGAAGCTTGGAATTTTGATCCCCACTCTCCATTCTCCAGAAAGGGGAGAGGAGCTGGAAATTGAGTTTTTTATTATACCTATGTGAGAAAGTCTTAAAATCCCAAGTGTGGTGGTCAGAGAGCTTGCAAGTTGGTGAACTTGCTGGGAGGGTGATGCACCCCAATTCCACCCTGGACAGAAGCCCCTGTGCTCAGGACCCTCCAGACCTCACCCTATCTTTTATCTCACTGGTCATCTGTATCTCATATCCTTTTAATAAATTGGTAGATGTAAATAAGTAATTCCATAAGTTCAGTGATCAAACTAATTGAACCCCAGGAGGAAGTCCTGGGAACCTCTGATTTATAGCTCACTAGCCAGAAGCACAGATGACAAGCTGGTTGTCTTCAGGTAGACAGCTACAGAATTAAGTTGTAAGACACCCAGCTACTGTCACAGAGAATTGTTTAGTGGGGGAAAGCCTCAGTACATCTGGTGTCAGAAACTGTTGTGAGTCTAGCAGAAGTGTGAGAGTAAAGGAGACACACACGGGTGAAAAACTGTCCTAATTTTAGGGCAGACTCTAGACTACCCAGGTTCCTAATCCAGCTCCATCACTTAAATTCTTATAACTTGCTCAAGTTACTTGCCCTCTCTGTTCTTCAGATTTTTCATCAAATTAGGGATGTTAGTAGTAGCAGTACCTACTTTTAGAGCTATTAAGAGGATTAAGTCAATACATGTAAAGCACTTAAACAATGTCCGTTATATGGGAATCATCTAAAAAGCATTGGCTCTTAATACAGGGTTGTGAGAATTCTAGCACAGAGGTGCTCAATGAATTGTAACTAATAGTATAGTGGTTCCTATTTATTACAGGAATATAGAGAATAAAATGTAGTCATATATAGAAATGCTTGAGAAGTTAATATAAGTTTGGAAGAAGAGGTTAGTATTGGGTGAGCACATGAAGGAATATAGAAAACTCTTGAATAGGGCAATAAAACAAGGAAATGAAGTTAGACGTTTAAAGTGTTTATGTTCTATGTCAAATCCCTGACATGTATAAACTTGCAGTGAAAAAAAAATATATATTTTCAAAGAAAAAACCCTTCCATTTAGGAAAGTGGAAAAATTAAGCTTTGTTATATATTGCTCTGAATATATCAAGTGTTCCTTTAGAGACCTCATATTAATAAATGTTAATACATACTGGAATAGCTAGGGTGTTGATGTGTGCTATCCTATTTTATAAACAAAAAGTGGCCTTGTCTGATGTGAATTAATAGCAAAAGATGTAACAAATTGCTGGATTTAATACATTATCCAAATTTTGAATTTAGTTAGACATTTAAAGAGCACTGAGGGGGGGTCGGAGGAGGTGGAAGAGGGCATAGAGGGGATAAATGGTGATGGAAAATAAAATAAATTTAAAAAATAATAAAGATCACTGATGGGTACTGTCCTAACACATGAAAAATAAATTAACTACTCAATGTTAAAATTTTTCAGAGACTCTGAATTCTGGAGAGTCTCATGGATAAGAGTTCCAATAAAGTAGATACTAGTTATCAGGCATCAATACAAAGTAACAACCTATTTTATGTCAGCATATTAGGCTATGGACAGCTATTGAAAATATAAAATATTCAAAATTTAAGAAGAAAATTCCAAATTTCTGACTAGCTTTGGGCTAGTCAATTTCCCTAGGCCACAGTTTCTTGCCTCTCTTCTTAACTATGGAGTTAAATTAGCATCTCTTTAATTTTTTGTGTAGAAATCCATTTAATTGCTTATCAGATGCATATAACTTCCTTAATGGTCAAAGCTTTTTGGTAAACTAGAATTTTTTGTGTGTGATCTTAAAGATAAAAGCTAGCTTAGATAACTTGAATAACTGTGTTCACATATCTGACAAAATATTTGCTATCTCTGAGGAATGGCTTGAGTTGCTTATTTTTTCTTGCTGGTTGTATGAAGTAAAAGAATTTTAAATTAAAATGTTAAAGTAGCCGAAACCGGTTTGGCTCAGTGGATAGAGCATCAGCCTGCGGACTGAAAGGTCTTGGGTTCGATTCCAGTCAAGGGCATGTACTGGAGATGTGTCTACATCTCATCTCCAGTAGGGGGCGTGCAAGAGGTAGCTGATTGATGACTCTCATCAATGTTTCTCTCTACTCTGTATCTCTCTCCCTCTCTGTAAAAAAATCAATAAAATATATATATTTTTAAATGTTAAAGTAATTACTTTTAAAGTTAACATTATAAAAATAATTCATGAAAGGAAAATAAGTATAATTTACATTTCAGGGATCACAGTGATGAACATGTACCACTGTAGACGATCCAAAAAAAAAATCCTGTAGGATTCAACTAGAGTTCCAAATCATTCAAACTGAATATTGCTTCAGATAATAAATGAGAGTTTTTAAATGCTTTTAGTTATTGATTCTTCTGTAAAATTTGTGTTTTGAGATAGAAAAAGTTTGAACACAGAAACAGCATAGAAAATTTAATATCACGTGTGCTTTAAATTTCACCTACTGTATTTTCTTATATGAAACCTTTTTTAATCTATTGATTTGAGTGAGAGATAGACATTAATTTGTTGTTCCACTTATATATACAGTCATTGGTTGGTTCTTGTATGTGCCCTAGCTAAGGATCAAACCTGCAACCTTGGTGTATCCAGACAATGCTATAAACCAACTGAGGTACCCAGCCAGGGCTTAGACATATATTTTTAATTACATCATGCTTGACATACACAAAAATGGAAGTATGCCCTGGCTGATGTGCCTAAATGGTCAGAGTGTCCCTTCAAAGGGTTGTGGGTTTGATTCCCAGTCAAAGGCTTATACCTGGGTTACAGGTTGAATCCCTGGCCTGTTCTCTCTCACACTGATGTTTCTCTCCCCCTTCCCCTTTTCTTCCCCGTCCTCTTCCCCCACCTCCTCCCCTTCTTGGAACTCTCCTGCATACCAGCTAGGGGAAAAAAAAAGAAAGGAAAGAAAAGATGAAGATTTCCATTATAGCAAAGAGAACAAATTAAGAGGCAGATTTGAGAGATGTAGAAGAGAACTTGAAAAAGAGCACATGAAAATTGGAACAAACTGTAGATACTAAACTTAATAGAAGGTCAGCAAAAGCAACCAACTATTTGCAGCAACACTATTAAGATGTTAAAACTAGCCTGGCACAATTCAATTCCTGGTCAGGGCTTGATCCCCAGCGTGGAGCGTGCAGGAGGCAGCCGATCAATGATTCTCATCATTGATGTTTCTATCTCTCCCTTTCCCTTCCTCTTAGAACTCAATAAGAAAGATACATATATATACATATTTAAGAAATGAAAAGGTATTAAAAATAAATAGACACAAAGTATGATAAGTTCCTATTTGGTAGGAATTCTACTCCACAATATACACAAGGAACACAACCTGCTGTTAGCAGGATCATAAAGATAATTATCAAACTTAATCAAAATAGTCTCTCAAGATATTTTATTATTTTCTACTATAAAGTCAACACTTTCATTATAGCCAAAACTGGTTTGGCATTGGTCTGCAGACTGAAAGGTCCCTGGTTCCATTCCGGTCAAGGGCATGTACATTGGTTGCGGGCACATCCCCTATGGGGGTTGTGCAGGAGGTAGCTGGTCAATGTTTCTCAATGTTTCTAGCTCTCCCTCTCCCTCTCTGTAAAGAATCAATAAAATATATATTTTTTTAAAATGCCAGTTGATTTTTCTCAACTGGTATTGTGCTAAAGTTAACACTTTTATTATAGACTATTTGCAAATACAGTAGAGTAGAAAAATGGAAAAATGCATCCATATTTCTACTACCCAGAGAAAACTGCCATTGATTGACCTAGACTAAACACATTAAGATAAAGGTTTTTAATGAGAGTGCATTGTTGTATTAAGAATAGTGTATTTCTTAAGAGCATTGTAGATCCAATAAACATGGAAAGAAGGTGTATATTGACTAAGTATTTTTGAAATTAATACTGGATACTAATCAAATAATAATCAAAATAGAAATAACCATAATCAAAACCTAGTAATTCAAAAGCAAAGAAGGCCCTGGCCAGTTTGGCTTGGTGGATAGAGCGTCTGCCTGCAGACTGTAGGGTCCCAGGTTCAATTCTAGTCAAGGGCACACGCCCGGCTTGCAGGCTCAATCCCCAGGAGGAGATGTGCAGGAGGCAGCCCATCAATGATTTTCATCATTGATGTTTCTCTCTCTTCCTTCCTCTCTGAAATCAATAAAAATATATATATATTTTTTAAAGCAAAGAAGATGGACTGTAAAGAGCGTTTTTCACAGAGGCTTTATATTAACTAACTGGAAGCCCAATGCACAAATTCGTGCAAGAGTAGACCTTCCTTCCTCCAACCACGGAGACCTGGGCTTCCCTTGCAGCCCTGGCTTAGTCTGGAAGGACATCCAGTCTAATTAGCATATTGTGCTTTTATTATTATAGGTTAGTACAAATAAATTCCTGCGTTTATTAAAATGAGAAGTTTAACATCAAGTCTTAAATTGCCTTGTTTTCAAATAAGACTTTTCCCAAGTACCACACAAAAATAAACGGCTCTAGAAAACCATTATTTGGAATCATAATACATCTGTTTACTAGACTGAAGAATAGCAACCCTTCTCAAGTGTTATACTTTCTCTGATCACAGCTCTAAGAAGCTTATGCTAAATGTACATTGATCTCTAAAATGTTTTGTAATCTAAGTGTCCATCCTTAAGATCATCACAGGGTTTCAAAAAAACCAAACACGGACAAATAAAAATAAAATGCAGGTAAGTTGAAAAACATCCCTTGCTTTATATGACAAGAAAATAGGGCTTGATTTTTACCATGGCTTGAATTTTGTCACTTTAAAACTATAGGAAGATGCTCTGTGCATTTTCAAGAGGGAGCGTCCTGTTCAGGCTTATTTTTATAATCTTGGCTTCACTAAATTTGTGTAGCAGCTGAATCATCCCTTTATGTCACCAGAGGTTATGCAGGGCTGTGATTACATCATTGATCCAAAAGCTAAAAGCATCAGAAACTGGGAACTTGGAGTAATATCCACCTTTAAAGAAAACGCTCATAAATAGTGTTCCCTATAAAATTTATGAGACCCACATTTCAGCATTTTCTATATTCATTACTCTGCCAATTAATGACATAAAATATAAATAGAACTTTTTAAAAGTAGAATGCCGTTTTAAAAAAATAACTTCAAGATCCCACAGCATGTCAAAGTTTCTAATACCTATAAGTATTTTAGCTAACTAGAAAGGAGAAAGTTAGCAACTTAGGCTAGATAGCATTTCGTTCTTTAAATTGATGACTTCCCTGGCTGCTTATTGGCCTTTCTCAAGAGTGGTTTGTGAGGACTCTGTTCTCTTCCACCTACAATGGCATAAGTGTATATTCTTGTCAGATTCTTCACTGAAACAATGCAGACCGTCTCTGAAGGAACCTGACAAAATATTGATATAAGGATACTTCAAAATTTCTGCCTGAAAAAAAACACAACAAAAACACACCAAGGTAAAATATCCACTTAAAGATGGGTGTTAAAACCATGTAATACAGGGTTGGGGGACTGGATGGACAAAGTGAAGGAATTGAGAAGTACAAATTAGTAGTTACAAAATAGGGGATATAAAATACAGCACAGAGAATATCATTGGTAATACAATAACTGGTGTCAAGTGGACTCTAGACTTATGGGGAATCACCTTGCAAGTTATATAAACATCTAATCACTGTGCTGTACACCTGAGACTAATATATTGAATATCAACTATAATAAAAAAAATTTCTTTAAAGTTTTTTTTAAAGAGAAAATTGGTGCAGACAACATACTTTTAGAACAAATTGTGGATTTTGTATCAGGTTGCGATAACTGAAAGCTGCCTTTACCTGAGATCTTTTCATTTTTCTCTTCAGGGTATTATACAACTTGGACTTCTTAAAAGGCAAATGTGGTGGGGTGTTTTGTTTTTATCAATAATCTCACCATCACCACAACTAAAATGAAAAGGTCCAACAAACTTCCAAAATTTTAAAAGTATAATGAAAAGGCTTTTCTCAATCGAGTTTTTCTTACATGTTTTGCCAAAATAATAAAAATGTAGCTAATATTTATTGTTAACCCTGTCTAAAAGCTTATATTTCTTATTTAGCTTCTACAACATACCTATGAATAAGTGATCTGATAACTCTTACAGGAGAGGAATCCAGGCTCAGATGACAGCTTACTCAGGAAGGTGATAGCGCTGGGACCTACAGGGCCAGGGGAAATGCCAAAAACTTTAGTTACTAAGAAATTTTCTGGCTGCTTTGAAGTTAGCTTCTTGTAAACATTTCCTTTTAAATCGAGCTTGTTTAACGGATTTGGTGAGGGCCACGTGGCAATTTCAAGAGTGCTTTTCAGAGAATAACAAATAAAAATATTTCCTTTTCCTTTTAGAGAAGAAACTTCCTCTTCAGGGCGGGGAAACACAGACCCGAGTAAAAAGCAGGTGGGCAAAACGTTACACAACAGCGATTTTAATTAAGAGTCAACGTGGGTTCCATGACAGCATTTTTACAACCCGAACACAAAGCCCATCTGCTAGGAGGTGCCCGGGGGGACGGGCGCGGCAAGGAGCGGGAAGGAGAAGGAGGGGAACGAGAAATTGTCTTTATCGGAGAATGTGTACTCACGGGAATTACCGGATCGGTAGTCGTTGATTTAAATAATCAAAGCAAAACAGCAGGGTCCAATTACTGGCGAGGCGGGAGGGAAGTGGAGGCGGTCGGCCTGGAACTGACACCGATCCCTAAATCCAAGCTGTTTTGCCTCAGACGCCCCGGGCGGGCGCCGGGGAGGCCGGGAGCCGGGGGTTCAAGTCCCACCAAACACAGCTCCGTCCCCGCCCGGCCCGGGGACAAAGGAGGCGCCGAAAGGACGACGCCCACCTCTGCTTCCTCACAGAAAGCCCCTGAGCCAAACCCCTGAATCTGTGTCTAAAGTCCTATGTGTTCAGGCAAAGGACACAGTTTAATGGGAAGGGGGGCTGGGGGGGGGGGGGGGGGACACGACTTTAAAATTCGCTTAAATTGGCTTTCTTTTTTTTTTTAACATATTTTATTGATTTACAGAGAGGGATAGAGAGTTACGGTAGAAACATCGATGAGAGAGAATCACTGATCAGCTGCCCACAACCAAGGTACATGCCCTTGACTAGAATCGAACCCGGGACCTTTCAGTCCACAGGCTGACGCTCTATCCACGGAGCCAAACAGGTTTCGGCTAAATTGGCTTTCAACCCACACCTCGTCCCTCCGCGCCATAGGGGGGAGTGGAGCACCGCCACCTTCCAGACCCCCGGGGCCGGGCACACGGCCCCCCGGGCCGGGCACACCCCCCCGGGGGCGCCGGGAGGAGGCGGCCGTCGGGCGGGGCCGGCCCTCCCGCTGGCTCGGCCGGCGGGGCGGGCTCAGACCGCGCGGCGGAGCCCAGACGCCGGCCCGCGGCCAACGAGGGAGGCGGCTGCGGGACGGGCCGGGGCAGCGGCTCCGCGTGGTCCCCGCCCCCTCCCAGGCCGGGCGCGAGCGGAGGAGGCGGCGGCGGCGCGGGAGGAGCAGCATGGCCGAGCCCTCAGCGCCGCCCGCCGCCGCCGCGGAAAGTTGCGGCGAGGAGCCGGCGCGGGGCGCGGACCCGGAGGGCGAGGCGGGGCCGCCGCCGGCCTCGCCCGGGGGGCAGTCGGAGCCCGGCTCGCCGGTGGCCGCCCCCTTCTTCCTGCTCTACCCGGGCGATGGGGGCGCCGGCTTCGCGGCGCGCCCGCCGCCTCCGCAGCCGCGCGCCTGGAGGACCCCGCCGTCGCCCGGCTCCCCGCTGCCCTTCCTGCTGCTGAGCTACCCGGGCGGCGGCGGCGGCGGCGGCGGCAAGCACCGTGAGTGGCGGGGCCGGGGCGGGGGGCCGGGGCGGGGAGGGCCGGGGGCGGGCGGCGGGGGCTCCGGGAGGCACCTGTCCGGGCGAGAGGCGGCCGCGGTCCGAGCGCCTGACCCTTTACCCCCAAGTCTCCCTCCCCGCGGGCTCCGGCCCGGCGCGGCCTCCCCCTCCCGAGCGGCGCCCTCCCCGCGGACTCACGTGCTCCGGTCCCAGCCCCGTCCCGGGCTGGGCCTCCCGGAGGCGGGGGCCGGGGGCGGCGTCCGGCCGGCCCGCCTCCCCGGGCTCCCCGCGCCGCCGCCCAGTAGGTGTGGTCCCCGTGGTCCCCGCCGAGGGTTTCAGGGCGTTTGCTCCGCTCGGTATCGCAGGCCGTGCCCCGGGTGGGAAGAGGAACCCGGCCGGTGCGCGAGGTGACGAGGCGGGGATGGATGGCGGCTCGGTGTTTCGGCTGAAGAGGCCGCCGCCCTCTGAGACCGTAGCCTCCAGCCACCTGCCCCGCTCCGTGCTGCTCAGTCCCCAGTGTCCGCTGCCTCCGTGATGAGCGGGGCCCTGGATGGGGCAATAGTGTATAAAGGACTCTTGGAGGAGCGTTAAATCTAATTTTAAAAGACGAGATCTTACATGTGAACATGTAGATACTGAAGATACTACGAGGCATGATATGTGTGTAAATGTGAATTACTTTGCTGTATGAGCTCTGAAAAGGGAACGCTACATGCCTAGGGTAATAAGGGGGTCCCGTCTGTCTCTCTCCTCTCCTCTCCTCCCCTCCCCTCCACTTTCTCCCTCTCTCTTTCCCTCTCCCTCTCTCTCTCTCTCTTTCTCATTTCTTTCTCAACTAGAGTTTGTTTTTTTTAAGCACCAAAGCAAACCTTTTCATTGCTGACCGCCAGTTCTGCCGCCTGAGCCATCAGCTGGGAAAAGATTAACATTGGTTGAATATTTCCTCTGTGCATGTGCTGATTATCCTAGTTAATCCTCACCTCTCTGTGAGCCAAATGCCATGCCACTTTTTCAGATGTGAAAGCTGAGGATCAGTATTAAGGGATTTGTCCTAAAAAACAGTAAGAGAAGGAATGAAGTTGGCCCGAATTCCTTGCCTACCAAATCTCATGCGCTTTAAACAAATACCACATGTCCAAAACTGTGCTGGGAGATCCCTCCTGGGTTATGGTCCATTAGAAGTAGTCCAGTGTCACCTTTATTATTTTCTTTTTATTTCTTTATTTCTTACCTACAAAATCTTCCGATGGGAATATCTAATCAAGGAAGAAATGAGTCCTTATAAGCAGAGTTCGACACTGCTTTTCAGGTTCTAAGGACTCAGCTTTTTGCTTTGTTCTTTCAGCACAGCCTCTATCTTTCTCCTTAAATTTTTTATTTCTGAACTAGTGGCCAGGTGCACGGATTCGTGCACATTGAAAGAAGATTAATCGGAAGGTGGCTGGCGGGGGCCAACACTCCCTGGAACAACCTCCTGTGGCCCCTCCCCAGCCAGGTGTGCTCAGCACTGGGGCTCCAAGGGCCTCTGTGGAATGAGTGGCATCCCTCCTGCACCTGGGGTCCCTCTTGTCTGGCCTGCAGGGATCGGGCAGTGACTGGCAGTCCGACACCCCCCACGGGGTCTCAGAATATGAGAGGGCACTCTGTAAAGTTACTGTCCCTTGGCAGCTCCTGCATTGAGTGTCTTCCCCCTGGTGGTCATTGCACATCATAGCTACCGGTCAGCTGGTCAGTTAGGCTTTTATATATATATATATATATATATATATATATATATATATATATATATATATATACATATATATACACACACACACACACACACACACACACACACATATACACACACACATACATACTAGAGGCCCAGTGCACGAAATTCATTGGGGGGAGGGGGCTTCAGCCCAGTCTGCACCGTCTGCAATTGGGACCCTTATACCTTTTTCTTATCTAGCTAACCTCTTCACATTTAAAAAAAAAAAAAAAAATTAACTGATACACCACCTACTCTAGGAAATCCTCTTTGAACAATTAAGTATCGATAATTTCATAGTATACCATTCTTTTTCTTTGGCAGCAACTTAGAGTGGATTCAGTGTGCTTCTCATTCTTGCATCTGAATTTTTTTCTTGTTTCTCTTGTAATAGTGAAGCTTATCCAATTTACATTTGCCCTTTAAGGGCTTATATTTAGTTCAGTTTCGAGTTGACTTCCTGATTTTTTTTTTCTAAGCAGTAAATTTAGGTTGTGATAGTAAACCTTACTTGTAATCAAGCCTGTAGGTCTCCCTATCTGAATATTTCTATAATACCTATAACTTTAGCATATCAGAGATTGTGTTCATTTATAGAAAATAACAATAAATGTCTCCTGATCATTTGATCTTCTAGTAATATTTTATAGCAAGATGTATTATTCTAGTAATTTAACTATTACAAAACTGAGGCGTATAGAAATAAATCACATTGAACAATAAAGAATGACTCAAATATCAAAGCATAGTACACTTAGGGCCTCCCTTGTCCTGTGCCTCAGATATCATAGCATAGTACTCAGTTCACATGAAACTCGGCTTCCTTTAAAATAGGAAAGGATGCCATACTCATGAAGCAACTACTTCCACACTTTTTTAATTTAATTCACAGCACATACTCTTTGTACTAATTGTTGGAAAATCACCCTAGCCTCTGTTCCTCTGTATTGTTGCCTTACATTCTGACATCATTACTGTGCTTTTATCATCCACTCGCTTAATAAGATTGTGAATTATTTAAGAGCAGAGATCATGACTTGAGTTTGTGTTTTTCTGTCATGGTGCCTAGATAAATACTCAAATGCCATCCAGTCCAAACGACTGATGAGAGAGGCCCATCATTGCTGGAGACCTCTGATTTTTATTTAAAGGCCTCACTTGTTATGCGCCTTTACAGAGGGGTGAGTAGGGGCTGAGGAAATTTGAGCAAACCCAGACAGAATTGTCTTCCTGTAAGATTTTGCTAAGCTGGCATCCAGGACCGCCGAGCAGCTTCTTCTCAGGACTGCAAGGCATTTGTCCAGTTAAAACTGGGACACACAGCAACAACAAAGGCACTGCTAATGCGTGGGGAACAAACCCCAGCCTGTAGGAACTCACGATCTTCCCCCCACCCCCGACCCCCCAGTAAAGAAGGGCTGAGGATGGATCTGAGCTGGTGCTCCGAACTCTGGGGAGAGGGAGACTTCCTATAACCTGGGATACTATCAACCGAAAAATCAGAGAAGCACAGAGGATGATTCAAAAACACGAAAGATAACGCTGGTGATTCCTTCAATCTCTGGGGTCAAAACAAAACCCTGAACTTGTACACGCATGCATGGAAAAACGTTGCTCAAAGGAAAAGATTCAGACCCAGGTGGGAGGGCGGTGGGTTAGAGGCCCGGGACTCAGCACCACACGCCCGAATGGGTCCATAGCGCCGGCGGCCAGCGCAGTGGCTTCTTTATCTGGGACCTCGGGTGGCTTGGCCTTTTCAAGTGGGACCACCGGGCGGCGCGGCTTGGCTTGGCCTCTAGGCAGCCTCGGAGCCTTCTGCCAACCCTGCCCCACGGGACTGCAGGAACTGTGGCAGGCAGGTGCGTGGAGCAGCCAGCCCCACACCCCCACCCCCATCCCCACCCCCCCTCCCGTGGGGGCTGCCATCTTTGTTACAGCCTGAGGGTCAATTTTCATATTCCCTCTTTATTATATAAGAGATAATTGTTTATTCTTTTTTTATTGATTTTTTTTATAGAGAGGAAGGGAGATAGAGAGCTAGAAACGTCCATGAGAGAGAAACATCCACCAGCTGCCTCTTGCACACCCCCTACTGGGGATGTGCCTGCAACCAATGTACATGCCCTTGACCGGAATCAAACCTCGGACCTTTCAGTCCGCAGACCGACGCTCTACCACTGAGCCAAACCGGCTTCAGCTGTTTATTCTTTAAATATGTTTTTATTGATTTCTGAAAGGAAGGGAGAGAGATGTAGAAACATCAATGATGAGAGAGAATCACTG